TCATCTTCTGTTAATGCGAATTTAATCAATATTGCTACTCGCACAGGGGGTTCAATACACACTCTCGAACAAGACATTGTAAACTTATCTGGTATTCCATTGAACGGTACCATTATTATCGGAAGAAATACGTATCGTCGTACGGTAAACGGTTACACACAAATTGCTTGAAAAAAGTATTTGACTAATTCAGACTTTCATCAATGTTCCTCCTTTTAATTTTCAATTTTCAAAAATAAAATTCTTCCACGCATGCTTGTGCGTATGTACTCCAATGCCGTCTTTTATATTTCTCAAGATTGAACTCATGTATATATCATACTCATAATTCAGCTAGAATTGAAAGACTTAAAAAATGCATGAGCCATAGAGAATGTATATAGATCGAAGCAATCCAAATTGCAAATAAGACTTTCATCACGTGAATCTATTCATTGCCTTTATTTTGTCACATAGGTCTTCCTCTATTTGCTAACGACAGTATTATATAGATGAACAGATCATGTTCCTGTTAATTAAGAGCAACTTCACTTCCTTGATAGTGTTCGATTTCTAGTATTGATGCCAAGAGTGTATGCTTCAGCTGATAAATAACAATGAAACGATGTAGTCGCACATGTTTACTAACATTCTTTTTTAATTGTTTTTTTCATCGTTCTTTCTATTCTTCCATAATGGCATAGCAGAAGACGACTAGCCAGTTAATCGCTTCTTCGGTATCACCAGTTCATCATATCGTCATCAAAGAGTAAAAAAAAAAAGTAAAACTCGCTTAAAAAGATTGTATGTATACATGCACGCCTAAATCATTTCGTTGCTATTCACAATCTAAAAAAGACAACATTGATGAGAAGGTGTTGTCAGGATATCAAGCACTAATAAGAAAGAGAAATTGTCTTTAATCATTTTAAAATAACTGTCTTCTTTGATTGAAATTAATTCATATTTCTGAGCATCACTAACAGCCACATTAAAAGCATCGAATGCAAAAGACCCATGGATCTGAATATTATTTGTACTAATCATTGATCAATAAATACGTACATCGTATTATCTTACAGTTGACAATGAATTATTTATTTCCTGGTTGAAGACATTATTAGATTACATTGAGCGTAATTTCTTATGCATAAAATTAAAAAAAAATGTTTACAAGATGTTTGGAGATGAACTGTCTATGAGTAAAAACGAGCGAATCCATGGAAAAGATGCCACATTCTGGAAGATATCACGAGTTCTGTTTTTGATATGCTATTTCTTAAAACTTCCTCAAAATGAAAGGCGTATCAATCAATATACAAAACAACCACAATATTTAACGAGTTTTATAATTGGTCATTTAAAAAAAAAATGAAACGACGGGAACGAAAACATGATCATCAAGAATTATTTTGCATTGGTGGTACTATGGCTGATATTTATCCAGGATCTGATTGGAGTTTTGTCTATGGTTTAGCATCAGTCGACGATGGTATTGGAATTTATTCGTTTTGTTGATTAGATTCCTCGTTTTCAGACATAGCAACAACTGGAGCTTGCACAGATGAAGAACGAATATTGATACTCAAACAAGCTATAAATACCTTTGTCCACGAAGTCATACGTTTATTTGGTGTCGAATATTGTATCTATTATTTATGCTTGATGAATGGATCAGAAACAGATGAAGCAATGGATGGAAAACCTTTGTATTTGTGTCCAGTATATTTACGAAAAATGTTTTCAACATTGGGAAAACAGAAGAAACATTTCAATGTCATACAAATATACACAATAATTTTAGATGTTTGTAAAAGACTTCATTTTAAAGACGAATTAGCATGGTATGAAAATAGACTGAACTTATTGAATAAGTTAGTGGATGATTAACTGTAAATTGAGTTTTGTTTTTGTATCTTAATACATATATTGATGATCTCTCATTCGATGTTTATTTATTGTCTTCCATTATTAGATTCAATGTCATGATCATTCCTTAATCAGGAGTTATAAAGCAGTTCAGACTTAGTTTTATCGAATACAAATGTCCATTTCTAAAGATAAGGTAGGTTGATAATTTTCGAATAACTTTTGCTGAATACAAGATAAAGATGTGCTGTTATCCCCATTCGAAACAGCGATATTCGAGGCGTCTATCTATATAAAAATTCATTAGTTCAAAAGAGAATTTTCTGAGAGAGCTTGTGGTCGAATACCTTTTCTTTGTATATTTTCATAAACTTTTAAAATAATTTCAGCTCAAGTTATATCCCATTGTAACTCATATCATCTTGTATCTGCAATGAAACTAGTTATAGAGCAAAAACCAAGCAAACATGATCGATATTGTGTTAATAGGATCTATTACAAATTTTTTGGCAATTAATTTTGATCTCAGTAGTGTAGGTGTGACATTTGAGGGTATCGATTTACTCTCTCTCCACTCCCTTCCACACCCACACCCTATATATTCATGTCCGTTTCGAAAATCTTTTTTAATATTTTCCTCATTTCTACTTGGACAATTCTTTTGATTTGTTATTTACTGGGATACATGTCCTGAATAATTTTCATCAAGTTTTTGTATGTATAGCTATGCGTGCGTCTCGTATAACTACTAGCGTGTCTATTAATAACGAGAAGATGCTCGACTATGTAATCATTGACATTAAAAGTTATTGAATTCATCAGCCTGTACGATTGTATTTTATTTACAAGACAAGATGACTATGAATGTGAGAATGCAGTTTTTGTTCTATTTTTATAAGAAATCTATCGAACTCTTCCATATTCGATGTCTTTTCTTTGAAATAGAAAGACCACCAACAGAAAAATATTATGTATTATATTCTATGTAAAAATAAAGAGAAGAAAAATTTGATTTCAATTCATTTTTCTGTAATTTTAAAGTTATTAAGATGGCACGTATTTATTCCCGAGTACCATTGGACTTCTAGTCATAAAAATCGATAATGTGTTTGACAATCCATTATAATCGATTTTGCAATGATAAAAAATCCAATTTTTGATGTCGTTTTTACTTGAGATAATTATCTATTCTAATTCTGTATTATCTGCTAATCTATTTCAACCTATTACTATTTATTAATCAATTTTAATCTATTATCAGTTAATTGAATTTTAATACGTTATTACTTGTTGATCGATTTCAATTATATACACTGAAAATACATGTTGTTATCTCTTAATTTCATGTTAACACAAGATTTATATTTTTATTTACGACTAAGATGTTATATCTTCGTTTATTTGTTGTTTAGTTGGTCAGTATTTTCATTATTCATCATGATTTTTTTCTTTGTTTTTTAGGTTTAATACAAGGTGATGATCGTGTTTTTAAAGTTGAAAATTACCAAAGAAGGTCAAAAATTCTCTATTTTTATACAATATAAAATAAAGAATAAAATTGATCGAAAAACTACATTTTTCTTTCTGTTATTAATATTTGACTCAATCTCACGACATACTTGTTTTCATATGCTTTAACATCTTCAAAGTTCCTTGACTGATTAAGATTGATTTTTTTTAGCTCTGAAATATTTGCTCATGATGGCGATGTAAGGAGTATAAAATTATTCAGAACTACGTAGCTTTTTCGTTATGCCCAAAATTTCTACAGAGGTTATCTGATGAACAAACAAAGACCAACGTCAAGTGAAATTGGGTCTAAAATAACTCGTAAAAACACGTTTATCATCTATTCAACGTTCGTAAATGAGATACGTAATTTTCCCTGCTTTTGTGTCATATGATCAAAAATTTCTGATAACATTTGAAAATTTCGCAACCAAATTTGTGAAATAATTATAAACATCAGATGGAAACATATAGTAGTCGTCTAATATGAAGAAAGTACAATGAAGAACGAAAAAGTTCGCAGTTATGATCTGAAATATATCTGATCTCTATCAAGAATCATATCCATGTATGATGGATAAGTTATTCACAAGTATTATCATAAAAATGTGTTCTTTAATTGCAGAAAAATTCGAACTTAATTGTATTTGAGAAACCAAACAATTCGAAACACACGAAGTTTTTCAAGTTGAGTTTTCGTGTTTTGACATACTCAAAATTTCGAACGTGTTAAAACTACTAAAAACTGGGAATAAGAGTAATAAAAACCTATAAGTGCAAAGAAAATTACTATTTTGAATGAGTTCATATCCGCTTAACATGTTTAAACACGTTTAAGAAATCGTTAAAACGACTTTATAACGAAACTTTAACACGCTTAATCGAGTTTCTTTATGGTTATGCCTGCGTGCAGAGCAAGGGGGAAACAGCTGATTATTGATTAGATATGATTTTAAGTGATTAGCAGTGATTATTATTGATTAGTATTGATTATGAGTGATTATGAGTGATTAGAGCTGATTAGGAAAATGAATAAGAGTCATGTATTATTTCATGTAGGGGTGAGAATTTATTGTTATTGTTATTTATAACAATAACTATATTTTTGTTATTGTTATCAATAAAAGTAACTATTTTTGTTATATGTTATTAATAACAATAACTATTTTTTGTTATTGTTATTAGTAACAAAAAATAACAAATAACTTTTTAATAATTATCCTTCAGTGCTTAACAGCTATTAGATACCGATAACATTAGGTCCTCAAGTCCTATTATAGAGGCATATCCTTAAGTCTTCAAGTCTTATTATACAGGTGTACTCTTAGGTCTCCAACCCCTATTATACAGTGGTACTCTTAGGTCCTAAAGTCCTATTATAGAGGGATATCATTAGGTCGTCAAGTCCTATTATACATGGGTACTCTTAGATCCTAAAGTCCTATTATAGACAGGTATCCTTAGGTCCCCAACTCCTATTATACAGTGGTACTCGTAAGTTCTCAAGTCCTTTTATAGAGGAATATCCTTAAGTCCTCAAGTCCTATTATACAGGGGTACTCTTAGGCCCTCAATTCCTATTATAGAAGGATATTCTTAGATCCTCAAATCCTTTTATAGAAAGATATCCTTAAGTCCTGAAGTCCTATTACATAGAGTTACTCTTAGCTCCTCCACAGCTATTATACAGGGCCACCCTCACATCCTCAAGTCCTATTATACATACATACCCATAGGTCCTCAAGGGCTATAGTATATGGGTATCAATAGGTACTTAAATCCTCTTGTATAAAGATACAGACAGAGTAATCCTTTAAGACTTCCGAGTACCTTGATAGTATAGTCCTTGCAGACCTATGGGTACCTCTACACAATAGCACTTGACGGGCTAAGGGTACCCAATATCATTGTCCTTGAGGGCATAAGGATGTCTCTGTATAATGGCTGTTGAGGACCTCAGATTACTTCTGTATAATAGGATTTGAGGGTCTAAGAGTAGCCCTATATAATAGGAGTTGGGGACCTAACAGTGCCCCTGTATAATAGGAGTTGGGACCTAAGAGTACCCTGTATAATAGGACTTGAGGACCTAAAGTTACCGTGTATAATAGGTGTTAAGCACCGAAGGATAATTTTATAAAAGTTATTTGTTATTTTTTGTTATTAATAACAATAACAAAAAAAGTTATTATTATCAATAACAATAACAAAAAATAGTTATTGTTATTAATAACAAATAACAGAAATAGTTATTGTTATTGATAATAATGAGAGAAAAAGTTATTGTTATTGTTATTAATAACAATGAGATACCAATAACTTCTCACCCCTACACTTGGATCGACACACAAAATCAACAGTCAAAAAAAAACGAAAGAATTGAAATTATCTTTAAAATATTTTTTATTATGCCATAGTTATACTGTATGATTTTATTTTTACATCATAGCTTTATATTGTACAACTAAATTATTTCTTGATGTAGATAAATTTTTCTTTTTTTGTGTGTGACATATTTTATTACTTATATGATATTTTAACCTTTATTTGTAAACTGCACTCTTACTACTTTCTTTTTTAGGATACGAATATACGCGGACAAATTTCAACATAGAAAGAAACCAAATATTTTTCTGTTTCGTTCGAAATGCATCATATACCAATCTTTGTCTTATACATTAGAAGGCTCGAATTTTTATTAAATAAATAGTTTTGTAAAAAGTGTCCTCGTATTAACAATACATTGGTATACATATTTATACAGAAGAAACTTCTGTTTGATTTGTGAATCTCTTTTATAATATTATCCATTATACTTGACTAAAAGTGATTAGATTTGGTCACTGTTTGATTAGGAGTGATTAGTAATGATTAAGAGTGATTAATAATGATTAGAAGTGATTAGCGGTGATTAGGGTGATTAGCAGCTTCCTAATCAGCTGTTTCCCCCTTGGTGCAGAGTCATACACGTACCTCATGCTGTATTGATAACAAATAACGTGGATATATATGGTAGCTAATATGCAGTGGTTGAATATAATGATGAAGGTTGTTCTGTGTCTTCTGCCTTCTTGTAATTCAAAACTAAGCTGCTTATTTAAATTGATCAAATATTGATCGAGTGTAGTAGTGATGAATAGAGAAATTGGAAAAGAACTCATTTTCTGCCTCTTCCATTCTGAAGACACTGTCGGGTGTCCATTGGTTGATGCAACCCCAATCAGAATGATTTACTAATCAAAGAAATATATTGCATCTTCATTGGATTTCTTTCTTTTCTGCTGCCATGTGTTTGACAGAAAAAGAAAATATGTCATAATGTCAGATTCTATCAACTGGCTGAAGTGAAATAGATTGAAGTATTTGTCTTAAAAATTCTAATAATCTTTTATTAGTAATGTAAAATGGGCAGTAGAAAGATTTGTGTGTTAATCATAATATGACTATGGAATTATTTGCTATGAATCACTGTTAGGCATGTAACGAACCCGAAGGTTTGGGTTTGGGTTCGTGCGAGTAAATTTAACATTCAGCACCTACATACAACCAACATCCAGATCCAGACTCATACCCTCTACTAAATTATTACTTATGTCCCTCGACAAAACAACACATGCTACTAATCAGGAATGCTCGAAAGGAACACTGTCTTACTGACGATCGCATCGATCAAGCTGAATTCTTGATATGATTTTGACACATATGGTGTGTCAATGATAGTCATGTTTTACTTTTTTTTCCAATTTCATAGTGTTGAAGGAAACATAAGGCTTTCCAATTCTTTTGAATATGACTCTGTCAAGGTTAGGTATACACCGAATTCGAACTCTGATTCAGTGTTCGAGACGAACAGTTTGCATTCGGGTTCGAGTCCGAGCTCGTGCTCGAGTATTTCTGAACGTTGTTGACTTTTCTTAGCATGTTTGCAGATCTTAAACTTTTGAATCATTTATTTCGCTGTGTATAGATCTACCATAGCAAAACTTAAAACCTTTTCTTTTGGGTTACTTCTGCTGACTTTTATTAATTAACTTTAAATGACCGCTCTCAAGACAGAATGCAAACATTCTCTTTCGTGGCATGCCTAGCAGTGATTGACAGTCAGTAATTTCATAGCCATATTACGATTAACACATAAATCTTTCTACTGCCCATTTTACATTACTAATAAAGGATTATTAGAACTTTAAAGGCAAATACTTCAATCTATTTCACTTCAGCCAGTTGATAGAACCTGATATTATGACATATTTTCTTTTTCTATCAAATACATGGTCGCAGAAGAGAAAGAAATCCAATGAAGATGCAATGTATTTCTTTGATTAATGAATCGTTTTGATTTGAACTTTATCAACCGATGAACAATCGTACGTGTCTTCAGAATGAAAGAAGCAGAAAATGAGTTCTTCTCCAATTTCTCTATTCATCACTACTACATTAGATCAATATTTGAACAATTTAAATAAGCAGCTTAGTTTTGAATTACAAGAAGGCTGAAGACACAGAACAACCTTCATCATTATATTCAACCACTGCATATTAGCTACCATATATATCCACGTTATTTGTAAGTAATACATCAAGAAGGCGTGTGCGAGATTCAATGCAACAAATCGATCTATTCGAGCCACCAAAGTAATGAGCACACTCTTCGTTTTTATACTTACTTACAAAAGCCATTCTGAGAGCTTTACAAAAATTTTATTTGTAACTTTGAAACGAGGTACTGACAAACTGAAAGTTCAGAGAAAATTGGATTTCAATATTTCTTTTTTATATTGAGAAAATTACAAATCGTTACTTACTTAGGAAAAATTCATGCTAGATATTCATTTTTTCGCACAGGAACGTCTCGACATAGCCTCAAGGATGAATTCGATGCGTTCTATTAGCTTCCAGGAAACTAATTTTACTGCAAAGACATGAGGAACAGATTTAAAATGAGCATCATGGACATAATGGACATATTGGGCATAATAGGGGAATTTAGGAAAGACAGACATGTCATGAGAGTCTTTTTCACGCATCCTCACCG